CTCAAAAAGCGGTTTTACAAGAGGTATTACCTCAGGCTGGGGGACGAGGTGAATCTAGTGCACAAGACAAATCATATTAAGCCAAATAAGGCACAGCGTACACAGGTCAGTGAGATAGGAAGTCTGAATAGATGGAAGTGGGACAAGGTAGAGGAGAAGGAGAAAGGGAAAGACGTGAGGGTTCGTTTTAACATTTTTGTTTAGGCGAAAGGTGCTGTTTGCCACTCATGTAAATGAAAAAGTAATAAAAGCGCATGCAGTGTCTTTTTTTATTTAATAGTGTTAAGAACCATTATTATTCAATTTAATGCTTAACAGATGATTATGTATAGACTATGTCAATATTCAATTTTATAACAAATTTGATTTAAATTATCAGCAGCTAATCACAGGTAGTTCACAAAGTCGAAAGTCTATGCGTTTTCACTAGTAGTGGTTAACTGCCTGAAATTATCATTATTTTTTAATAATAATAATAATTAATAATTTTTTTGTGTGTTGCCTGGTAGTTTTTTGCTGTTTTCCATTTTTTTTACATAATTATTTTAATGTTATTATTTAGCTGAAAAGCCTACTGTAGATTATTTAATGGAAAGTTTCTATTGTGAAAACTACTGGGGCATGCAAGAGGTCAATGCGTGTTTATTGATCTGCATTTTTTTTTGTGTGAACAATAAAGATGGAAATATTTAATAGCTTTTTGTAGCCAAGACTTGAGCTACTGATCTGTTAAACATTATATAATATTTATTAATGGAGATTAATTTAAGAATAAATAGCAAAACGCGTTGGAAATCTTTACACTATAAAAAGTACTTAAATTTATAATATATACATAATAATATATTAACTAACTGCATGATTGTATTATATGCATGATATCTGTACGGTCTGCCGTATAGACATTACCTTGACAGTCACCTCTGATAATTTTACCATTTTACCCTTGATTTTAAAATATGTACTTTCTGCAAAGCTGCTTTGAAACAATACTTATTGTGAAAAGCCCTATACAAATAAATGTGAATTGAATATAATTGAAACGTGAATTAAAAAGTAAAAACTTGCATTGCTTCTTTTAAGGAGTAACGCTACTACCTGATCTGTCCCCATACTCTAATCACTTAGAGTCATATTAAATAATACTTTTGACCTAAATAAAATTTTATGTACTGTATGTTATGTCATTATGCATATTTTAGGTAGCCTTAAAAAATACAGTCAGCATAATATAATATTACCTAATATTATAAAAAACTTTATACATTAACATTTAGCAATAGGCTATAGCTAAATGTTGAAATTAGCATTAATGCTTCAGAATTCATTATTCATGTTTAGTTTATGTTAACTAATGTACTTAAGCAATGTTAACGAAAAGAAAAAATGTGAAGACTTCACATTGTTTCTTTTTGTTAATATTGCTTAAGTTCACAGTGAAGTGCTACCGACTTTTTAAACGAATTTATGTATTTTCCTGAGGTTCTCGTGCTATAGGACTATCGCCCGTTCGTCTTAAAGACTTTTTAAAACATTAACAAAGTTGTATTATATTTTTAAACCAATAATAAATTAAGAATAATAACAATCCCTTATGTTTTGTCAACGTACCGTCCGAGAGCGACCCAACAGTAGTGCTGTTGCTATGGTTACCTCATCAAGCAAGGCGATCCATCGACTGATCCAACTTTTGTGTTACGTTTTTGAAAACACAATTGGATCATACTATTTACGCCTATATGTAAAACAACATATTTTACTCCCAGCCAAGCTCATCTCAGCTCCTCCTCTGCTGTCTTCAAATCATGTAGTAATAGGTTACTCTTAAATGCTAGCTGAAGGGAAATTCAGGTCATGCTAATCGAGCGTTTCTCAACCTTCAGTGCGTGATGTGTCCACGTCTTCCAGATTGAAACCGATAACGAACGAATTATTGGTTCATTGAACTGATTTGAATCAGGCACGTATCACATACGCGCTCATTTGGATTTGGTGTGTTGACCACGTGCCCAAAGACCTACAATGGACCTACAGATTCAAAGTTCGTAGATGCCACTATCAGAAGTTTAGCGGGGAACTTAATCAGACGGAACACATTCAGGCAACATGAAAGCCAAAATACATGGCGATGGAGCCATTTCGTGTCATTTTGACGCTCTTCTCCAAGCTCCAACCCACTTACAACCAGATTTTCTTACTCGTCAGGAATTACCAAAAATTCCTCATCAACACAACATCAGATGCGCACTGTAATATAGACTATTACATATGAAAACGGAAGACATGTCTTTCCCAGGCCTAGAGGAGCTATTGGATGAAGTGGTGCCTTCTGATTAAAGCATGTCAGCACCATGACAGCTCGTGATTTAGTGATGCAATTACCAAAATAACAGCAAACACCGATTAAGCCAATAATTGGTGGAATGAAAGCGAGAAGAAGCAGTGATGAAATGCACGTCTCCAAGGGCTAACCTACCTCGATTTACATCGTTGAAACTTTAATCGTGTCTCTCTGGCCCTCGTGGTTGTGATAATGTGTCCCTTGCCGATAATCAGAAGAGGCTTAAAGCGTGAAGGCAGTTTCGCAGTGGTCAAGCATCCGTTCTGCTGCTTCTTTCGCGAATAAAGCGGACGATGAGCAGATGCGAGCCGTAACACGAGCATCATCGCTCAGCGAGGTGATATTATGAGTCCAAACGTCCAGGGAAAGGCATCGTATTCGCGACAGGAGGAGTGCATTGTGTATCTATCGTGTTGTGCTGAGGGCTCCCCACTTCAAATCACGCCAGGGACTCCGTCTCCATCGTGCCGAAGCCGCGATTCGATTAGACGCGATTCGATTGAAGTATGAACGCCAGCATCGCTCCGTTATGTCGGAGGAGGAGGAGGAGGAGGGTTCTGTCCGAGAGATGGCAAATGTTCTTCGGGATAACCTCGCATCCATCAAAACACATTAGACATCCCGCTGAGGTGCGAATATTCTCACGCGTTACGCGCGTCTCATTCCCTCACAATTAATACTGCGTGCTGCAAACACGCATCAGTCATGTACATAACGTCAGGAGCTGTCATGAGTCATGACTGAGCATATGGAGATGGTAGAGGTGACATTGAGATGTGAGGAATGCGTTTCAAACATTGATCGGGGATGTGTGTGTGAGACAGTGAGAGAGATGGAGACTGAGGAAGAGAGAAACAAAACAAAGGTCTTAGCTGCTTCAGACTTTCAGATAAGACTATCATATTACGACTGTACATCCCATTATAATACTATCTTATAATAGTAATATCATCAAACCATTAAATACTATTACAGTACTGTGCATAATGCTTTCATACCAATGTAGATACATCATTCAACTACTTACCTTAAGCTACTTAAAGTAACACATACAATGTGGTTTTGTTGTTATAAATTAATGTATTTAGGTTGACTGAGTTTACTTAGGTATTACCATTTTTAGGTTATCATTTTTTCAGGTGTGAATCATATTACTGGTGTGATAATTTTTTTAAATGATGTAATTCTGAAAAAATATTTTGATACATTTTTAGATTATGCAATTCTGAAAAATGTTTTTTTACTTAATTTGTTTTACATATTAAATTGACAGATTTATTAAGTGAACATACTGTTCAAAAGTTTGGAGTGGTAACATTTTTATTGTTTTTGGGGGAAAAAAGCCTCTTATGCTCAATTGATTAAATAGTATTATTGCGAAATATAATTTAAATGTAAAAGTTTTCTATTTTCATATATCTTAACATATCATTTGTCACATGATCCTTCAGAAATCATTCTAATATGCTGATTTGCTGCTCAATAAATATTTCTTATTATTATCAGTGTTGAAAACAGTTGTGCTGCTTATAATTGTTTGAGGAAACCATGATACATTCTATTTTCAGGATTCTTTGATGAATAGAAAGTTTAAAAAGAACAGAATTTATTTGAAATAGAAATCGTAACATAATACTGTTATTAGCATTTACAGTTTGATCAATTTAATGTGTCTTGACTAAACAAAAAAATTCTTTCAAGACAAAATTTGTACTGATTCCAAAATTTTGAAAGCTATATTTGCTTTAATGTATTTTTTTTACTTAAAATATTTTTTTTAAACCACAGTTGTTTTTTAAGGAATTTGTGGAATATGACAAATAAAAAGATCATAAAATGCATCTTTTTCAGTGTAAACACATTTGTGTTCTTTTCCATTATTTAAAGTTGTGGTTATTTGGCCTTGGGGCACCGAAACCTCAAAACTATCCCATTCTAACGGTTTTCGGTGACTCAACATGATGTTGCCTTTTGTCCTTCATGTGCCCTTTAAACGAGGAATGTAAACAAGCGATTAAAGTCTGCAAAGTTCCCACGATTCCATGCATACCTGAGAAGCGCACAGAACTTCCCCATTAGCATATCTGGCATACCTGAGTCTGACACCAAACCCAGCCGGCCTACACACAAGAGAGAGTAAAGCAGTCTCACTGAGAACCACACCTGCTCTTAATGCACTTAAAATAACAGTACCACCCCCCACAGTTTCTAGTAATACATATCTGAAGAAACCTAAAGTCTACAATGCAAAAACACGTCATGACCCAATCTTAAATGTTTGAATCTGCTCAAAATAAACAAGAAAATCCAAAAAGATGGAATAAACATGGTGATTCACTTTTTGAGCAGCTTTCTTCTTTACAGAAAGTTACAATGTCTCTTTTTTTGTTGGAAGTTTGTGATGCAACGGCAGGTAATTCCCTACAAATTAACTCCTGTCATTATGTTCTACCGACGCATGTTGAGAATCGTTCCATTCACAAATGTGGACAAACAGCAATCACAACATTTCTGAGCTCAAAGGGATCCGCCCACCGCGCTTATGAGACTCTGAACCGCACGGTGACGTTTAGCTCAGAAGTTATTTGAGGAAGACGAGGTGACTCACCTGCACTGGATTTCACCTGCACGGTAAGTCTTCACTGCCATTTCCCTGAAACACAGCGTGCCATTAGGATTTCGTACATCTCAGCAAACTTTCAAAAACTCAAGCCTTCAAAAAGTGCATGAAGTCAAGCGCAAAAACGGTAAACAGGTGAGTCCTGAGACAGGCAATTTATGAATTATGCTTTTTTGGGGGAAAAAAATTTAAAGACTGAATGGAATTCTTAGTAATGTTTCATTTAAATATCAACTTTGTCTCAAATGTTTCTTCTAAAAGAAGAAATCTAAGAAGAAATCCAAATAGACATGAATGAGACATATAGTTGGAGTACAGAGCTATAAAGTTAATGTGGATTTTGATGTCAAATATTTGATTTTGGATTGAAAACCTATAACATTTGACTAGATTTTAGTGTCTTGGCAAATCTGAGCACAGCTCGAGATCCTGTTGAGATCTCGTCTGAAACTCTAAAGAGATGTGAGAATAGGATCTTTTTCACGAGAAAAAGAATCTGGGAAGCATGCTTTCCATTTAATATCATTGCTGTCACATGTCACAATTGAGATATTAAATAATTCTCAGATTTTTCATTAAATAAAATGTCTTTATACTGCAGAGCCAATACAGTCAACTGAGTGTTTGAAATATATATGATATTATTTTTAACGTGATAACATAATTACAGTATATTTGAATATATACTATGTCAGTACAATTTAACAGTTCATATAAAAATACACATGTATACACATATATATTGACAGATTAATAAAGATTTTAATAATGATTCTTACATATTGCATATTTATTCTGTATGAATGTTGAAATCTTATTCTGTATGAATGTTGAAAGCAACCAATAATCAACTGATCAAAACATATTGTAATCTTTCTGGACAAATGTAAGCTAACCTGACCACATTTACTTTATTCTCAGGTGATCATCAAGTGAATGCTGTCAGCTGAAATTTCCATTGCGAGAAGATCTATTTAGTATTTCCCATGATGGCAGGTAATACAAACATCTAAAAAAAAAAAAAAAACAGGGAAAAATATTAAATATAATAAAATGTAACAAGAAAATTAATTTGATATAAAATACTGTATCGTATGCAAATCACACTTGCTGTTGTTTCCGTAATGTGGAATTCTTGAAATGCAAATGCAAATGAAATGCAAAATAAAAAACAAATTGCTCTGCTGATAAAGGTGTGCTAGATAAATGATGCATTTATTTTTTGTTTCCTTTGGGTTTCCTCTTATTATAGAACATGGTGACCCTTGCACTGGGTCAGAAGCCAACTTTTGCATGAATGGAGGAACATGCTTTAAAATACCCTCGGTGTCTACTCCCACATGTGTGTAAGTATCTTCACAAACAGAATATCTATTGTTTGACCATTTACATTATAGCATACCCTTACCAAAAAGTAGTATACTTCAAGTTTATTTTAGTAAGTATACTTAAGTAAAGTTCAAGTATATTTTTAAGTATACTTTATGTAGTAATGAAATGCTTTGCTTGAAACCCCTGTCCTGTCCTGTAGCTGCAGTGCGAACTATGAGGGCAGCAGATGTGAGCAGTTCCAGCTGTTCAGTTTCTCACGGGACAGTGAGGAGACGGGCATGATCGCTGCAGTGGTCATCATCGCCCTCCTCATCCTAGTGGTGCTCGGTTTGGTCATCTACTACAGCTGCAAGTGAGTCACGTGGGCTTTTGACGATGAAGTTTCAGATTCAATACAAGTTTTATCCACATTTTAAAGAAACATGCGGTGGATTACCACAGAAAACAATTTAACTCGTCTCTCAGATAATAAAAAGAACTGTCTACTGTAACGCATTTACAACCGGAAGTTGATATAATTAAGTAATAGCACAAGAGCAAGATTACTACTTCCCTCAAAGCAGGCATGAGGTTGTGAGGTAATCACAGCCCTGCTTAACTATAAATACTCGCTTTTCCCCACCTTATTTTAACGTAAAAACGCGGCCATTTGTAACTTGAATGTGCAAGACTTCCGGTGTCATTCTCTTCCAGTTATTTTAGCTGTACAAAAACAGTATGTTATGCCGCTTTATATTGCAAACTATTTGTTATCATACAATTTAAATGTATTATATTAACCATAAGCGCAAATAGTTTTACCGTTTACTGCACGTCTTAGTTATTCTTCTAGTTTGCCTGTTTACTTAGAGCAGCTAATGAAACGGAAGTCTCGCACATTCACATTAAATAGCTTCCGTGTAGCAAGCTGGATACAACATTTCTGTAAACAGTTAATGTTAATATTTTGGGCACACTATTGCCAGTTGCTTGATCTGTTTTTCCTCCGCCAACGCATTTTGTTCTAAATGAAGCGACAGCAGAATGAAATTTTTTTTTTTATTATCATAATTTTGAAGGAATCGGTTGAATGAATGATTCAGCGTCACTTACAACAGAAGTGAACATGGACATTTGTGAACTTCAAAATAATAACTGTTTCACAAGTAAAGCCACAAGAAGTAAACAATATAAGAGCTTTTATAATATTATAATAGTTAGCCTACATTTAGAATTTTAGATCCTTCAAAGATTGCTTCAATTTACTTCCTTTGTAGGCTAATCCTAACCTTTGATTTAAAAAAATGCCATTGAATGTGCTTAACTTGAACCCAGAATATTCTTTTGAAGACTAGCAACTTATCGCTTAATATCAACTTATGAAATGTTAACATCTTTTATGTCATCTTTTTGAACCCCAAACAGTCCCCCAACAGTTCTGGTGAATTATAATTCTCTTTTCTATTTTTACTATTTTTTTCCCAGAATAAAGAGAAACGCCCGGAGTCAACCAAAGCCTGAGGAGTACTGGAGAGTCAAATCAAGCAGTCAGCCGGTGTGACTCGACTTTTGAAACAGATGCATGTGAACTCGACATTGGTGTTTGAAAGAGGCTTTGACGTTGTGGACAACTCCATTATGATTGATGACAACTTTACCTTGTAACATCGCCCCCTTGTGGAGGTCTTGGACTCAATGTGAAAATTTGTCAAGTGCACAGTAGCTCAACTTGCCAGCTACTCTCAAAATATCTTTCTTAATGTTCATAGATTTTGTAAATAGTTCTGTCAATTAAAACACCTTAATTTTAATATGTAAAAAGGATGCAGATTCTTTACAAGCAAACTGTTTCCATATCAGATGTTCAATGGAAAGCAATACATTTCAAAATGAGCATCCTTAGCATAGATTTTAATTTTAATTAGATATAGAAGAGTTAATAATATAATGGTCACGTGCCATGTACATACATTTTTACACTGTGTTGTTTTTGTTTTGGCTGAAACTTTGTACGCTTTATACTCATTTCTTTTTTTCTACTGGATTACTGGAATCACTTCACACGGTTGAAATGTTTTACCATTAAATGTAAGTAACAACAACCTGCTCAATCATTAATACACACCACCGGACTGGACATCATTTCCCTAATCATTTGGAATCATTTTATAAAATATATTGGGGCCATATTTAAAGAAAATATTTCAAACCTTTTCAAAATCAAACATGTTCACGTCATATACAGCAAGCGTGTTACTGTTTCTGCAGTATGTGGACGGTTTACAATATGCACGCTTTCTGTATGTCTAATACCTAGATGAACTACTGTATGTCTAAATTATACAACAGAGAGCACACCTCATGCATAATGTATGCCACAATGCAATGTGATTCCAGTGAGATGAATGAAGCAGATGTATAAATATTAACTAAAGTTTTACCAGTGTTTTCTTCTCACTATTAATTCTGACTGTCAAAAGTTAAATATTTAGATAAACTTCAATAAAAAAATAAAAAAAGAATTTAGTAGAATGGTTTATTGAGTTTCCATCTCTTAAATGCTGTAAACAACTGTAAAGACCACCAAACAACCGTGAAGACCATTAAACAACTGTGAAGACCAACATACAGCAGTGAAGACCAACAGAAGACCAAGAAGTTAAGAGGGTGAAGAGGGTCTCTGTGGGATGGCGGTCTTGGACGGTGCTGGGTGGGGTGTGTGGTGTCTCTCCACACCATATCTATGGGATTGACCCGAGGCGTCGGGTGGTTTGGTGCCCTCACTTCCCTCAGCGACTTTGACAAGGTGAAGCACTCTTACCACAGCAGAATGCTGCTTTATATCTCTCACTGCCAGTGAAGATCAATAGTGACGTAACGCTCGGTGGGTGTCGGATGGGGTCCAGCTCAGCTTCTCGCAGGTTGCCGACACGAGTCCGACAAAAGCCCCTCTTTCTGGTTGTGGTGAGTTGGACGCGGGGCAAGATGAATAAGGTTAGTAGATTCGCATGCGTATGAACTATTCTATGCTTTTTATAGTATAGCCTAAATCAGGGGTGGGCAAACTTGGCCCTTCCAGGCCACTTTCCTTCAGAGGTTAGCTCCAACCCTAATCAAACACACCTGAACCAGCTAATCATTGTCTTCAAGACTACTAGAAGGCTACATGCAGGTGAATCATATCAGGGTTGGATCAAATCTCTGCAGGAAAGTGGCCTGGAAGGGCCAAGTTTGCCCATCACTGGCCTAAATAGTGTGATTAGTGTTCATATGCACTTAATTAACTGTAAAAACAAAGTGTGGAACTGTCACAGTTTTAATTACGGGCTTTTTAGAGTACGAGTATTATAATGATAACAGTATTGGGTGAAAAAATTATTTTTCATGCCTCGAAAGTCTACAGAGGACGTTACAGTATGTATGTTGTGGTGCACATTGCCTGTTTAAGGGTTAAAGAAAAGTGTGTCAGCTGGGAATGATGTTGGGAGGGAGGGTGAGAATTTGATTAACATTGTTTTAACAAAATGAAGCAAAAACTTGAAATAATTCAAAACATAATAATAAACAAAAATAACAACAACAAACATGATAATAACAACAAAAATAATAATTAGAATAACAACTAGCCTACAAAAAATATTAATAACAAAAATACAACAAAAATAGAATAAAAACAATAATAGCAAAAATAGGGAGCAATAAAATAATAACAAATATGATAATAACAAAAAAGTAATAATAACAAAAATAACAACTACAAAAATAATAACAATTACAAAAATAATAATAACAAAATACAACAAAAATAGAATAAAAACAATAATAGCAAAAATAGGAAGTAATAATATATGAAATAATAACAAATAACAATAACAAAAATAACAATAACAAACATGATAATAACAACAAAAGTAATAACAAAAACAACAACTACAAAAATAATAATAACGACAAAAATAATAGTAACAAAAATACAATAAAAAAAAAATAATTGCAAAAATAGGAAGCAATGTGAAATAATACCCAAAAATAATAACAACAAAAATAGTAACAACAAACATAACAAAAGTAATAATAACAAAAATAATAACAATGACAAAAATGATAATGACAAAAATAATAATAATAAAAATACAATAAAAAAACAATAATTGCAAAAAATAGGAAGAATTAATATTAAATAATACCAAAAATAACAACAAAAATAGTAACAACAAACATGATAATAAAAACTAAAATAATAACAAAAATAACAACTAAAAAAATAACATCATCAACAAATAACAACAAAAATAATAATACTAAATATAACAACTGACAAAATAATAACAAAAATAACAACAACAAAAATACAAAAAATAGCAAAAAGAACAAGAAAATTAACAAAAAACAGAATAACTAAGAAAAATACAAAAATACAAGAAAAAAGTAAAACAAAAACAATGATAAAAATATAACAACAAAAATGGAAATACTACAGGAATAAAAATAATAATAGTAACGAAAATAAACAACAAAAACAGTAATAATAACAACAAAAATACTTGTATAATTTTATTTTACATCAAAAAAAAAAAATTTATATAAAAAAACAAAAATAACAAAAAAAAATGCAACAACAAAATAGCAGCAATAATAACAACAGCAAAAGCTTTAAATGACTTAAAAAAAATGATTTAACTGCTATATCAGTTGATCATACACGTTTTATATGATAAATTATTATTCTACGTAAACTATATAATCCAATATAAGCCTATTAACTAATAATGATGAAATATAAAAATATATTTATATTATAATATAAAATGATATGATGTGAAATGATAATGATAAAATAATAAAAATCTAAAATTAATTTGAATTTAATAAAAGTCATATTTAAGAAAACATAAATAATCCATTGCTTATTTTTATGCACACCAACATCTGTTTACCTCATGAAAATTATTTTGACTATAAATTTGACTACTGGTAAATTAGTAATACAGATAATAAAAAATCTGATATTTTATTAATTTAATTGAAATGCTCTGCTTTTTCTACTAATAAAGTTATTAAATACATTTTATTATGACTGCCATCTTGTGGTAATTACTATGCATGACATTTGTGTGCTGTATATGTGTGTGTGAAATAATTTCTATTACATACATTACATTTTTATTTGTTCAAATTTGAATGAATGTGTATTATTATTATTATTATTATGTAGTAGTACAGTGTGTTTTTCACCATTTGTAATCATGTTTTGACTTTATTCAATTCACTTAAGTATTCCAGTGGTGTGAAATACATTTTAAAAAGCACAGATATTTTACATGAAGACTTTAAATTAATATGAGGTTATGAAAGAATTACAGTATATTGTTTAAAATAGTTCTGCTATTAATTAACTAATAGTTCTGTTCACTGCTTCTCAACTACACTTTAATAAATGTGATATATCACCAGACTGAGTTCAATGTATTGTGAGCATGACATGACGAATGTAGGAGAAAAATGAAAAGATCAGATTAAGAGCCCTTCACAGAGGTTTCCATAATACATTTTTATTTCTTCAACATATTAGACAGTTCCTATATGTATAAAAGCTATCAAAATGAGCACTTGGCACAAATGTTGAATTAAAACTGAGGACATGAACACACCTCAGCACTGTAAACAAAGAAGCGTCCTGATGTTTACCACAAATCTCTTAAAATGGCTACAAAAAGATCACAGCAGTGTGTTTATGAATCAAGCGGATGCACGTTCTTCATCCCTGGCCTTGTCGAATTCCTGTGCGATCTTCAGCGCGGTGGTATTGAGCCCCACTGACTGCATGTTTGTGATGATGGTCACCACCACCCCCTGTGGAGGAGTGTGTTTGCTCTCGCTGGGTAACACCAGCAGGACGCTACTGGCCCCCACAGCGCCCCCTGTGTGCGAGGCGTAATGTCTGCGGCTGCGGCACTGACCATATTTCTGCTGTTTCTCCACCACCAGCCAGCCCTGGGCGTACAGTCCGTTTCTGTCCCACGACGCCTCCGTTTTGTCCACCGGTGCCCATATGGCTTTGGCTGTGTGGGGTTTAAGGAAGCCAGGAAGCAGCCCGTCTGTGTTCTTCAGTTCGGCCATCTGATAGCTGTAGAGCAGAGCGTTACCGAACACCAGAAGGTCGCCCACAGTGGACAGAAATCCACCTCCAGCCCATTTGTACGAATTGTCCACATAGGGGCAGTTCACAACACGACCCTTTTTATTGAAGTGGTAGAACCTGCAGGAAACAGGGAAGATGTTAAACAGGTAAATGATAAATAAGTGTGTTTAAGATGAAAAAAAAGTTTCAATAGCATGGTGTAATCATATGAAACCAAAATGATAATAACTCTAAAAATGTCATGTGGTGTAACCATGTAAAAAGTAATACCATATTTTCTTTACACCTTAAATATGTGAATGTACTATTTCAAAATATATATGTTTACATTTATAATGAATTATTAATTCATAAATATCATTACATTTTTGGGAAGTCACACCAGATGACATTTTACACCCTGAACTTTACAGAACTTTTACAGAACTTTACAGTCTGAAATGTATGGCAATTATGTCTTGCCAAAGAAAAAAAAGGTCAAAATATCTGATATTTTAAGAGTCTTACCGACCTTGACACACAGTCTTTAGGGATTCTCTTTGATATAATTTCCTGTTTTATGTTTTTCTTTTCCTGCATGTTGGTTGCTCCGCATCAGACCACAATTTCACATTATTTATAAAATTATCTATTAATATTTTTCATTATTT